CTTCGGATACGGATTCTACCTCTTCTGAAGTATTAAACAACAAAACATATTGTTTTTTGAGCCTCCTGGTTTTTTTTATCGTTCATAAAAACGTTTAGTGCGAGAAGTAAAATAATAATTAGTTGCTGAACGTGATGATTCATTGGGGTGTAACATCGACTATTTAATCAAAACCATGTCAGTTAACGTTAACCATGTAATTTATCATATTGTAGATTTTTTACGTTACACAAGTTGATCAATTTATCGTATACATTTACCCCCATATACTTAAAAATCGATATTTTGGATATTTTTAAAATGTATCAACTTATTACATAGGTGTGCAATTGCCTTAAAATTTTCACCAATTATTTATATAAAATTAAAGAATAAAGTATGGTTTTATTTATTTTTTTATTAATATGTTGGTTTCGAATATTTGCCTTATATAATACTTGAAAATCCATTAATTAGGACGAAAAAAATCATCTTAAACATATAAATCAAAACTTATTGAAACTTTAGCGAAACATAAAACATAGTTACTTTGAAACAGTTCTGACGAACAGTTGTCAATTAAAAAACATTGGAAAAATAAGTGCAATATTTATGTGATACCTTCAGAATTTCGTGCCTTTCTTTATAATTAAGTAAAGTAAAATTAATTCGATTAATTATTTTAATTTTAATGTTAAAAATCTGATCATAATAAAATAATCAATGTAACTAACATAGTTTTGATTAAATAGTCGATGTGACACCCCAATAATTCATGCAAAATCGGAAAGACACATGATACGGTTCGATCGGTAAATGAAGTCAACGACAAATCGTAAATTCATGCAAAATCGAAAGACAAATATAAAAAGGTCGTTGGAAAAAGCCAATTCCACACACTCTCTCTCTCACAAAAACCCAATTCATTTAACTTGCATTTTCTCGACCCAACCCTGCCCACCACACACAGTGGAACAGTCTCCTGATTCTTCCATTTTCCTATTTAGCAGCCGAGCAGGCGGGAAACCACCGGCTGATGCTGCTTCTCACTTGCTAATCTTCTGGGCGTTTCAGTTCAAATTACTTTAAATTACTAATTACTTAATATTACCAATTCAATGTATTCTGTGGACTTAAAGTCCTTTAATTGAATTCATTTCCGGCACCTTTGGCTGTCCGGAATTATTCCAAATACATGACCAAGCGCACCTACGCTTTTCGACCATTATAGTTGCAAAATATTGAACGGAATAGTGCAGCAAAACATCGTTTTAGTTTTTACAAAAAAAAAAAAATTCAAAATAATTATTAAGCGAAAGTATTTATTTATGCAATTCCAAAATTCTTTCTGTATTGTAGTAAGAAAAAAAAAAAAAAAAATCGAAATAATCTAAAAAATAATGAAAATAAGTGAACCAAGAAATTTTATAAAGTCTTTTGTTCGGTACTTTATTCCCAAGAGAATAAATTTTGTTGAGACCTACGTTTACAAGCTTGTAATTTTAAAAAATACCAACTCTGGCCACTATTTTATTTCCACGATTTTACTTTTATTTAAAAAATATTTGACACGAACATCGAACATTTGAACTATTTTAAATTCATTTTTATTGATACTGTAACAATACCGCAAATAAATAAAATGCTACTGCAAATTGCTAATTAATAGAGTTTTTTTTGCAATACTAAAAAAATAATGTACTCAAGTTTTCAAAAACCATTTTCCTGAAAGAAAAAATAATTAGTCAGTATTATGTTCTTTCGGAAAAATAGCTTTCAATAGTACTAATTTGCTATTTAGAAATGTTGAAAATAAATGTTATTGAAACATCTGATATGAAATATGAATACGATGATTCAGGATTGCCAAATGATGCTGGTATTTCCCAAAATTGAGAAACTTTCTACCAACTGTCAAGAAACTCAACAGAATACTATGGCAAAATTGGAATACAACTCAACAAATAATGAAATAATTCGTGGTTATGATTTTTCTTCGAAAAATTTAGCCAAATTGCAAACAAAATAATTGAAATTCCATTCAAAAACCCTTCCATTGAACTTTCCAATGTTCTTATTCGAAAAGCGACAACTCCACCTAGTAACAAACGATCAACATAATGGATCTTTTCAATCAGCTATTGTTAAAATTACTCACTGCTAAGTTATTAAATAATCAGTAAAATTTCCATACACTTACACAAAAATAAAACAAAGCAAAACAATAAAAAAAAATAAAACAAAGCAAAACAATAAAAAAAACAAAAAAAAAATTAATACTTATTTTGTTTTCGGATTTTCGAATAATGGCGAAAATTTATTTAAACGTTCACACAAATTTATTACTAAAAAAAAAAACTTGAAAGTGCTAAAACCCAAAAGAGCAAAACATTAGTGTTAAACAACGAAATAATCATTTAAAAAAAAAAATAATTTTTTTTTATCAATCATTGCAAAAAGAAGTAATTTATTCTTTAGTTGCGGCGCCTAATCAGTGATGCAATTGGTTTCGCCCAATGGAAAGTGGTGGGGAAATTAGTAAACCAGCATAACTCAATATTAGACCATGTATCCAAAAAATAACGCGTGATAATTAGGATTTGGGCTTCGTATTATCTGGAAATATATATATTAGAGTAAAACACGTTAAGAAAAATTGACATATAAACTTATTTTTCTCAACTTGAATTTTTATTAGCAAAGCCAGTATGGCCGATACAATAAAAATATCTCTATATTGGGTGAAAATTTAATGGTAGAGGGGCACTGTCTTTTTTTAATACCTGCATGCAAGCTCTTGCTATGGCGATCGTGGTGTTACTAACTCTCCATCATAAAGGGGTGCATCTTTCCGAGATTGTAGTGAACAAAAAGCTATGTTGTATAAAGATGCATCAAATTTTTCTACAATCTCATTAAGGGTGCGAATATGGTTTCGTAAAGACGCCTACAATAATTCTATTAATTAACCAGGAGTTTGTTTATTCAACTTCCCACATTCTGTAAAAAGATAGCCTCACCCTTAATTTCCACAATTCATCTATAAATCTGGCAAGTGAAGATTGGCCTCGATTCATAGGAATTTGTACTGAACAAAGACGTTGAACAAAGTAAAAGGCTCCAAATGGCATAGTCATAACCCAACATGCCATGGTTCTTCCTAAAGTAGAAATGGTTAATTTTGAGTGAAAAAAAAAATAATTGTGATATTACACACCAGCAACTTGGATACCAAAAACTGGCACCCTATTAAGATCTTCTATTTCCTTCACTTCCCTAACCCTTCCTCTAGTGAGCTTCCTCAGTAATCGCACATGAGCATCTTTCATAAGCTTGATTAACTTATCCTAATCATCATGAATCTTTTTATCGGTCAGGAGAACACGTGAGGCCTCCATGAGACAGATTTCTACTTCACCAGCAATCAGTGGAGACTTCACACGAAAATAGGGTTTGTGTCCAACTCTGATTTCTCCAGAATTATCCATCCGATGTTGGGATGCCTCCGAGACTTCTTCGGTCCTGTTATGATGTATGTAAAACTTGTTAGTCATTATGTGACCACCTCTGGTAAAAATTTATATCTTTACACATTATCTAAAACTTTACCAGGTAATTTTAAGTTTGATATTTTCGTAGCAAAACAGTGAATCAAGAAAGTTGGACACTATGCGGACAATATATGTCTCCTCAGTGTATTCAGCCTTGTTTTCATCGTTAAAGTAGCACCAGATATATCGGCTATAAGAATAAGAGTATTAGAAATTGGTTAATTATCAAGGCGAAGAAGCTCAATTACCTACACTGAGTCTATGATCCTATGCATCACACATATGTCTTCAAACTCCTCATCATTTCTTTGGAAATCCGCTGGTATAGGTGGGAGTGAAACCATCATTTCCCTTTTATTCAAGCTTTTTGATTTTTCTAAAAGGACTTTAATCAATTCGGAAATAACTTCGTGTTGATCATATACCAAATTTACGATTTCTCTCAAATTCTTCTTTCGCTCTTCTGCCAACTTTCCAAAAATTATATCTGAATTTCGATCAACAATGCAACCAAAGCTGAGTGGATCATTCCATTCAATATTGCTGGTATCAAAGGATTCAAAAAGGATTCTCAACTCATATAATAGCAATGAACTGGATATCTCATCTTGAATTAAATCATCCTGCAGAAGTATCGAGTAAGAACAAGCAAAAAAAAAAAAAACCATAACCACCTACAACATGAGTGCGTACCAATCATTTCTCAATTTTTTCCTTGTTTGAAAAGACAGGATTCTCCTCTGTTGGGCTTACGAATTTAAGAGAAACCTGAAACGTATAAAATATGTTAGTGCTGGTAATAAGCTTTTCTAAAACGAAATTATAGAAGTTTGGGTCAACCATTGATTCCATAGCCTCTACCGTTGATATATGGGGTGCCTCGTATTAAAAGGGTCCATTTTGACATATACCTTATTTCGAGATAATTGAGTTTTAATCATTTGTTTTGATTTTCGGACTGATCCGGGATTACCTTAGGCAGCCTTGAAATTTTTCTTTTACATTATCACCATTTTTCATTATGCAAATCGACTTTCATTTATAATTGAAAAATGTCAATCGTGTCAAAATTTACATGAATCTAATAA